ATCAGACACAGCAATGTTTCAGCATTAACACGAAGCCCTAAGTAGGCTGTGGGTCTGTGGGAATCCCAGGCTGGACAAGGCCAGGCTCCTCTGCCTCCTAGGCTCTGGCGTCCAACGCTAGAGATGGTGAATGGGGGCGAAGGGCCCATCAGAAGCTGGTGATGAGTGTGAGTATGTGGGGGGGAGGGTACTGAATGGTAATAAACCCACCTGCAGGGTCTCATTCACGATCGGAGAGACAGCATCCAGCTCACCCACTGGGAGGGTCTGGGGTGTGTATCGGCCCGTGACCAACAGTTCGTAGAACCGCATGCGGGTTTCCCCTGTGGGAAGGGCAAGGGAGGGAGGATTGAGGGAGGCTCCAGGATGGGGCAGACCCCACAGGTTGGCTTATGGGCCCCTGGCGCCTGAGACCCCCAAGCCTGAGAAGCTTTGTGACCCTGACCGGGGAACCACCTCTCTGTACCTCACTGAGGAGTCCGATCTGTTCAACCAAGCTGCTCACCTGTATGATTTTTCTGACCCTAAGATTCAGAATTTAATCCTCTGTGGGGCCAGGACTCCCCCCAAAACAGAAACACCACCCCCAACACAGAGCCTCTCCCTGTCACTTGAGCCATAGCACCTGAAAAAAGTCAGGTTTTCCCACTTAACAGCCAGAGCCTGTAGCAGGTGGAGAGACCCAGTGACACAGAGGTGACAGTTCACTTTATTGTTAACTATCTGAGGCCAGGTGACCAGCAGAGTTTGTAAAACACAGTCTAGTACCACGTTACTGTGAACTCCATGGGCCTCCTCCGCTGACCTGGCTGACCAGGCCTCCCCAGCTCTGCCGGGCTGGTCCCACTGGGCCCTGTCTGGTAACCCTCCCCCATCAGCAGAGAGAGGCCTCTATAGACCCTGGGGCCCCAGATTATTGATATTTATAGAGCCCTCTGAGGCAGCTGCTTACATATGCAAAGGAGGCACATTCCTTGAGCTACACTTTACACTTTGCTGGTCTCTTTCTTGAAATACAAAGTTAGTTGGCAGTCTCTGAGGGCCTCTCACTTTTTTTTTTTTTCTTCCTTTTTTTCAGAAATGAAATTTTGGGAAGAGCTGGCTGCTCCTTAAAATGGGCATGTGACAGGGAAGAAGTTTCCACATTCAGTTCTCAGGGAGAAATGAGACTGCAGCCACACAAGGGATGTGTAGAGTTTGAAGGGTCTGTACTCCCCTGACAGAGACAGGAACCCAGGCTTGTGCCCTGAGGAAACTCAGAACTAGATATGGGCTTGGCAAGAGTTTGTGGGATAACGGTGCCCACCCAGTTCCAGCATCCCTCCACAGCCCCCAGCAAGGTCTTAGAGACCTAGTCAATATGTATTCATCGTTGAAAGCACAAGAAAGGTTTAGATTTTCCTGTTTGGGTTTGGTGTGCCATTTGCCTCTAAACACCATGCTCACAAAACTCCTGGAAGCTGGCCACCTAAGCTTTCCCAGACAGTGTCTCCCAGAAAACCTCAAGAAGCACCGGACCCAACAGTGCCTGCCCAGTCACAGGGCAGGTTGGTCCTGGGGCACCCAGCACCTTCTTTCATATGGGTGGGAACTTCCCTAGAGAGGCCACAGGCAAACTTTGGGGGATGCCCTAGAGTCTTGCAAGCCCCTCCATCCAGTCGAGAAGAAGCCTCCCAGGAATGTAAGGAAGGAAGGGTGACTTCCCCAGCCCCACTCTGCCAGCAGTGAGCTCAGAGTGAGCACATAGCGGGATTCCCGGCGCATGGGAGGTGCTGCTGTCTCTTTAAGAGAGAGGAGGGAAGGCACAGTGTCAACCCTTGAGCACCCACAGCAGCCCGCCCAGCTCTATCAGAACATTATCAATGAAACCACACTCTGAGCCCAGATTGGTTCCCACTCCAGAAGGAAGGGGCAGCATGGGGGAGGGGGGGACCCTGGATCCTTGGAGGATTCCCTTTTTAGTTGAAGGACCTACTCTATATGTATTTAAAGGCATTCTAGTGGCTCCCTCTCAGCTCCCACAAATAAACAAACCCTGCCTCTTCCCCTAACACAGATGGCATCACTGGAGACTGCCTAAACCCAGGCCACTAGGGCTCCAGGAGGGGCCCGCAGGGGTGTCAGTGGTGGGGAAGCCTCTGGGTGGTCCCTAGGGGTACATGCAGTAGCCAAGGACAGCACATTTGGTAAATTATAGCCTGTCTCCTAGCAACACACAACACATTTAGCTCCATGGGACTCTATCCTCGGGGCGGCGGGGCCCAAAAAAAACCCGGGGGTGTTGGGGGGTCCCTAACACTGCAAGAGGGGCTCTGGGAGGGAAAGGAGTCGTAGTGACAGGTCTCACTGCCCCTCCATCGCAGTTTGTCCCAAGTGGGTCTCCACTCACCTTTAGTGTCCAGCTCCACGTGGATGATATTGCCCATGACCGAAGTGCTATGCAGGTGCTGAACCGCTTCTTTGGCTCCCCTGACCGTGGCAAAGACCACCTTGGCAATGCCCAAGTGCTTCTTGGTCTTAGGGTTGTACAAAATCTCCACCTCCTCCACCTCCCCATACTTCTTGCACATGTCCCTCAGGAAGTTTTCTCGGATGTTATCATTCAGCTTGGCAAATGTCACCTGCTTCGGAGGCACCGGGCCCACGTAGAACTCATCGATCTGGCAGGGACGAGGGGGAAGGGAGTTTGGAGAACATTGAAACCGAAGGGAAACACAACATTCCCCACTCGCGTGCCCGATGAAAACAATGAAGGTTAAAAAATATTTTTTTTTTTTTGAAAAAAAAAATGCACGCGGGCGGGCCCGGGAAGCGGAGGATTAAATCGTTTGGAACGTGGAAGTCCTCTGGGTTCGAAAGGAAAGGGGAAAAAGAAACAGTTTCTCTTTCCCCACCCCCCATTCTGGCCTCCTCTCCCTGCAGCCGGGTCAGGGGCGAACCCTTGGTCTATGAAGTTGTCCCCTCTTAAGCCACAAGACTGAGAAGGGGCGTGGGTCCCTAGGCCAAGCTTCGGGGGCTAGCAGGAGCCAGGTGGGGACCAGGAGCCCCCAGCTGGGCCGGCAGGACACTGTATCAGATCCTTGATTACAGTTTCACTGAATGTTATTCTGTTTACAGTAGCTGAGAGAGGACACCCCTCTCGCTGCCATCTCCCCCTCCCCGCCAAAACTTCCCTGGCCATGGACGGCGGGAACTCAGAACCAGGCTAGGCTCCGGCAGAACTGGCGTTATTTTCGAACTCCGGGACTGGGGAGGCGGGGAGAGACAGTGGGGTCGGGCGGCGGGGGCGGGGGGCGGGGTCCTACCTTGAATTTGGGCACCGACAGCTCCAGCTCCTTGTTTTTGGTCCAGATCCCAACGACCCGGGGATCTTCGACAATTTCCACCGGGCGGTTGCTGGACATCTGTGGGGAGGAATGGGGGGGGCGGGGCGGAATGGGAGGGCTGGTCCCACTCCCCAGGGGCAGAGGCAGACGCACCCCCCCCCCTTCTCCAAGCACTTGTCAAACTCCAGGACTGGGGACCCGGCTGACAGTTGGCCCGGTGGTCGGAAGGGGGGGTCCCTGGGCAGCTCGGACCCCTTTCCCTCCGCCCCGGGCACGGCTGGTGGTGGGTGGGGGCGGCGGGGAGGCGCGCCGGCTACTCACCGCCAGGCTGAAATGCTGCCCATCGTAGCGGTACAGTTTATGATGCCCCTTTTTCAGAGCCGGGTCAATCATCAACTTGTAACTTCTCCAATGGTGGTTCCTCCTCTCGCCCGAAGGGCCGGGCTGCGGCGGGGGCTGCTGGTGGTGGTGGTGGGGGGGGTGACTGTTCTCCATGCCGTTAACCCAACCTGAAAACGAGCAAGTTGTTGTCGTCTCCGCCGCGGCGGCGGCGGCGGCGGCGGCGGCCGCTTCTACACACACGCGAAAGAATCAAATCGTCCAGCCCCCACCCCCTCCCACCTTACCAGCGCGCCCCAAAAGGAGCTGTCTCGCTGGCTCCCCCCAAAATAAGAATAGAGCGAGAGAATAACCCTTCCGGGAGAATTAGGCGCCCGCCCGCTCGGCCACCGTCTCGGGGCGGCAGCGAGGGGCTCCCGGGGGCCCCCGGTGCGTGCTGGCGGGGCCCGGGGCGTCCGGAGGACACGGGCTCCGGCCCATGGTGCCCGTCCTGCCTCCCGGCCGCCCGGCGTGGCGCTCGCTCGCTCGGCCCGGCTCGCGCGCTG